CATCCTGCCTAAAGCAATCTACAGATTCAATGTAATCCCTATCAAAATACTGACAGCATTCATCAACAAACTGGAACAAATAGTTCTAAAATTCATATGGAACCACAAAAACCTGAATAGCTAAAGCAATCCTGAGAAGGAAGAATTAAGTGGGGGGGGATCTCACTTCCCAGCTTCAAGCTCTACTACAAAAGCACAATAATCAAGACAATTTGGTACTGGCACAAGAACAGACCCATAGTCCAGTGGAACAGAATAGAGTCCAGATATTAACCCAAACATATATGGTCAGTTAATATACAATAAAGGAGCCATGGATATACAATTGGGAAATGACAGCCTCTTCAACAGCTGGTGTTGGCAAAACTGGACAGCTACATGTAAGAGAATGAAACTGGATTACTGCCCAACTCTATACACAAAAGTAAACTCGAAATGGATCAAAGACCTGAATGTAAGTCATGAAACCATAAAATTCTCAGAAGAAAACATAGGCAAAACTCTCTTGGACATAAACACGAACAACTTCTTCATGAACATATCTCCCTGGGCAAAGGAAACAAAAGCAAAAATGAACAAGTGGGACTATATCAAACTAAAAAGCTTCTGTACAGCAAAGGACACCATCAGTATAACAAGAAGGCATCCTACAGTATGGGAGAATATATTCATAAATGACATATATGATAAAGGGTTGATATCCAAAATATATAATGAGCTCATGCACCTCAACAAACTAAAAGCAAATAAGCCAATTAAAAAATGGGCAGAGGAGCTGAACAGACACTTCTCCAAAGAAGAACTTCAAAGGCCAACAGGCACATGAAAAGATGATCCACATCGCTAATCATCAGAGATATGCAAATTAAAACCACAATGAGATATCACCTCACACCAGTTAGGATGGCCAGCTTCCAAAAGACAAACAACAAATGTTGGCAAGGATGTGGAGAAAGGGAAACCCTCCTACACTGTTGGTGGGAATGTAAACTAGTTCAACCATTGTGGAAAGCAGTATGGAGGTTCCTCAAAAAGCTCAAAATTGAAATACCATTTGACCCAGGAATTCCACTTCTAGGAATTTACCCTAAGAATGCAGGAGTCCAGATTCAAAAAGACATATGCACCCCTATGTTTATCACAGTGCTATTTACAATAGCCAATAAATGGAAGCAACCTAAGTGTCCATCAGTAGATGAATGAATAAAGAAGATGTGGTACATATACACAATGGAATGTTATTCAGCCATAAGAAGAAAACTAATCCTACCATTTGCAACAACATGGATGGAGTAGAGGGTATTATGCTCAGTGAAATAAGCCAGACAGAGAAAGACACGTACCAAATTATTTCACTCATCTGTGGAGTTTAAGAACAAAGAAAAAACTGAAGGAACAAAACAGCAGCAGACTCACAGAACCCAAGAATGGACTAACAGTTACCAAAGGGAAAGGGACTGGGGAGGATGGGTGGGAAGGGAGGGATAAGGGTAAAAAGGGGCATTATAATTAGCAGACATAATGTAGGTAGGGGGACACTGGGAAGGCAGTATAACAGAGAAGACAAGTAGTGATTCTATAGCATCTTACTACACTGATGGACAGTGACTGTAATGGGGTATGTGGTGGGGACTTGATTATGGGGGGAGTCTAGTAACCATAATGTTGCTCATGTAATTGTATATTAATGATACCAAATTTTTTTTAAGTATACTAGAAACACAACCTATAAAGTGACTTCCATCTATTCATGAGAAACCAAATAATCTACTAAAAAATTCCCTTTGACAGAGTACATAAGGTTATACTCTTTGCCTCTCATTGATGTCAGAAATAGTTTACTACTTTATATTCGACATTCTCTTGGGATCTCAGTATTGAAACAATAATAAACAAGTGATACATGTCTCCCAGAAGTTGGTTGTTAACCTATTTAATTTTCATTTTTCTATTGAATTTTTATATGCAAATTGTTTAAAGAATGAAATATTTCTACAAGATTTGTTATGAAAAATCAATTTCCCTGCCTTCTCTGCACCCACCACCATTATTCACCCCCAACTCTGCATAGAGACAACTGTTTTCATGTCTTTTTGTCTAGGTTAATTTGGGTCTTTACACATTTTCTCTAAATAACAGACTCAAATTACTACTTCTTTAATTTTTCTTTTGTACATTAACTATTGTCTATACCGCTACAATACATACACATACCCTTCCTGTCTGCCAATGTACTCTAATTATAGTTAAACCTTCAGTGTTACATTTCCTGGAAGTGTGAAGATCCAGACACAAGTATTATGGGAAGCTGAAAACAAGAGAAGGGCTAGGGTCTCAGTATCCAGTGCATATACATTTATCCAACATCTGTTTTCAGTATGGTACCTGGCTGTCAAGTATGCCTGTCATACTTCCATCAAAAATATGCTCTCTTTTAATTTTCCCATGAATGAAACTTCTGTTTTTCTGCTAGGGTGAGAAAAGGACACTATATGTCTGGGTGGTATCAGGGAGATGACATGGGGGTCTGCCAGTCCATTCTCATTTCAGGCCCTTCCCACTTCTGGTGGTGCTGGATGTCACTAATTCCTAATCCTTTGAGGGCACTTCTCTTTTATAAAGTGGGTGAGTTCTTGGGTTTCCCCTTTGCCAGTTTACGAATCCATTTTCCTGGGTCTACTAAGTCATGTTATATAATAAAAATTCAAGTGAGAAAAGCTCAAGAACAAAATAGCTTTATTCAACGATTTGGGCAGCATCCCATTTAACAATAGGAAGGAGTTCAGCTGAGCTGTAGAAAAGGAAAGGTTTATAAGAAACAGAAATGAGACAGAAAATAGATATTATTAGCAAAGACTGTACTGTTTCAGGCAAGGTCACCTTCCTAAGGGAAAAGTAGGGATCTATGGACCAGTTAATTTACTGCTGTTGACCAGGTGATTCCATGTTGACTGGTTAAAGGTGACATTCCAGGGGGAACTGAAATTGCAACTAGGTTAGGTATTAAGTTCTTAAGTCTTGGTTTGCTGATGTGGGACTTAGCATGAGTGACTCCATTTTTGGCCTGTTGTTTCTTTTTCAACAGTTATTACCATTCTTCTGTCTGCTTGCTAGTTCTCAAATTTTTATTGCTATTTCCTCTACCATTTCTCCTATTTTCATGGTTTGCACTGTTTTTTTTAATTCCTTTACTATAATTTTATCTTGGTTTTGGTGGGGTAAAAAGGTAGATATGTGTTCTGACTGCCTTCTTTATCTGCAAGCTGGTTTCTTTATCTATTTGTAAGGTGGGCCTGGAGACATCCTTTCTATAGAGATAGGACTGACTGCTCCTGGGCTGCACTTCCTGCCACTTCCTGCCTAGAGTTTATACTCCCCTAAACTCCCAGAGCCCTTATTTTAAAATGTATGTCATATTCTTTAACCACGGCTGAAGCCTCAAGTCTCTAGGGCATAATATCTATAAGTAGTTACTAAACTCAACTGAGGTGTATAGTCTTCCAATATTCTCTGGCAAAGAGAAGAAAATGGCCACTTTGCTTTCTCTGGAGCCCTGGGTTCTGCATCACCAGGGCCTCGAGCTCCCCAAGGAATAAAAGCTTGCTTGCAGGTGGGTCTCCATGATTCAACTGCTCCCATATCAACTTGCTTTTTTTCTACTCATATGTAAAAGCTTTAGCAGAGTCCACTATTGAGACTGAGGTTTCCCACTCAACTCTACCCTTCCCTGTCCCCTCAGGTTCCTAAAGGGTCAATGCAGGGAGTTGAGTCTTTGATTCCTGAACACAGGTCTGCACTAAGTCCCTCCCTTTCCTGGTAAACTGGGGTGGACAGTCTTGATGTAGCCACTAGCCACATGTGGCTATTGAGCATTTGAAATGCAGATGATCTGAATTAAGATGTGTTGGTGGTATAAAATACAACCAGATTTCAAAGGATCCAAAAAAGAAAGTTAAAATATCTCAGTAATTTTTATATGTATGATATATTGATATAATCAGTATGTATTGGGTTATTAGGGTTATATAAAATGTATTTTTAAATTGTTTTTACTTATTTCTCTTTACTTTTACGAAACTTAGAAAAGTTAGAATTGTATGTGTGGCTCTCCTTATGTTTCTGTTGTTCAGAAAGCTGATGCCCCCCTTTAGCTGTCCCTCCAGTGGAGCAAATGCTGAGCAGCAGTTCCCAGAGTGGCGTTCCATGGTCCCTGCCCTACCCTTGACCCTCTAGAGACAAAGGATCTCCCAACCCGAGGATATCCATAGCTGAAAAAAGTGGGAAGTGGGGGAGGAAGACAGGAACAGACAGCAATATACAGGGATTGAGGGAGAAGCCTGCTGGCTGAAAGGCCCCCCAGAGCCACAGACCCAAACTACAGAAAACCAGAAGCACAGCAAAGACCCTGAAAACGTCTCCAACTTCCTTAGGCTTATAGGACTTCACCAGCAACAGCTTCTATCCCCAGGTTTCTTTATGTCTACACCTGACAGTGCTAGGGAAATAAACAGGAAAATGTTTCATGTCCACTGTTACTTCAAAGTGACATGTGATACCTGTTCTGTCCAGCCTCCCTCTACCCACCATTTCTGGGCAGTCTCACGGGTGTCCCCTCTCCCTGTGACATCTTCTCTCATTATGTGAACACTGGGTCATTTCAGGACTGCTCATGAGAAAATCAGGGAGCCACTGGAGTACGGTGTCAGTTTCCACTTCAGAAGTAACTCAGATTCTAGTCTCAGAGAAGTACTGCTCCAGTTTCCTCGGAGCTACTTGTATTGCCTAGATCCCCTTGCCGAATCCTAACTGAAAGAAAGGTCAGCTCAGTCAGAAGATCACTGAGTCCTGAGACAGGGACTGTATGTGGGCACCCCCTTTTTATTATAAATGCTAATTCATCAAGTCCTTATTTCTTTCCTAGAGCTAACTGGATATAGTCCAAAAATCCCAGCATGTTTTGGAAATATGTCCTTAAAAGGTTGTTTTTTATGTTAATTCAGATTACTTCTGGTGCCATTAAATCCAGGCTGAAGGAAGCAGAGTCCACTGAACTGATGATAAATGTTGCTCGTGAGAAGTATCGCCCAGTAGCCACTCAAGGCTCTGTTATGTACTTTGTTATTGCAAGCCTCTCAGAAATTGATCCTATGTATCAATATTCTCTGAAATATTTTAAACAGGTAAGTGTGTTGTTACTGTTCTTGTTAATGAAATCTCTCTTTCTGGCTTCCCTTTAAACCTTGTTGAGTTTCTTCTTGCCTCAGACAAGTCAGAGTCTTTATTATTGGGTAAAATCCTCCAGGAGTTTGGGTAACCATGTTTGGCTCAAGAGCGACTCCACCTGCTGTGTCCTGAAACACTCGGGTGCCCAGGATGCACAGACCACTCCGTAAAGGAAAAAAAGGAAGATTTTCTCTTGGTTTCCATGACTAATGAGCTTGCTTGTTTTCCTTCTTTGCCTGCTTTCTTTTTTTCTTCAAAGAGTCACTGCTCTATGCTCATTCTTTATACTTTATTTACAGTAATCCAGCTTCCTTTCCACTGTTACGGTTTTCTGGGTTGCATCTCAAGTCTCTGTCAGCACCGACCTTTAGCAAATTGGTTTCTGTGCCCTTTTTTTCCCGAACTGTACACCAGGCTCTCCCCCCACTCACTGGCTTCCTTGAGCTCTTGAGTGTGCCTTCATGTCCTTTCCTTTGTGCCTTCCCCCTTCCACCACATTCTTGTCTTATTGTGGCCTCTCACTTGATCTCACAGTCACAGTTGCATTTCATCTGATTCCCAAGAGCAGTATATTTTCACCCCTCCTCCCATGTGGCAGCATCCAGTGTCTCCCAAAAGCAAATTCAGTGTCACAAAACTCTGGCGAACGATGTCAATTTACCTGAAGATTTTCAGGGGAGACAGAGTGTTCGCATCACTTATTACACAGCACAACTTACCAAACTCCCTAGGAGCCCCATCTGTTCACCTCCTGAGTCTCTCCCAGCTACCGGTGGCCTCTTCCTCTCAGGCCACCCCACTCTCGGCCTCTCTGGCTCAATTTTCCTATCTATCAGTTCCCACTCCCTCTTGTCTATATTGTTCCCTTTACTGGGCACAGTAGCTTAGCCTCTCACTTCTCTAATCATCTGTGCTCATACTCACAACACAACTCCACAAAGGCCTCTCCATACGCATCATTTGCAGTAGAAAACAGTGGAGAAGCACAGATGCATCGTATTTGCCCACAACACACCTATACTTTCTGCTATAAGCTGCTGTCCCTTCAGTGGTGCCGGACCTACACTGCAGGCCAGCCAGCCCGGCTGGCTTCAGAACACCATTCCACACACCTGGGTGCCTGAGTGGAGTTTTCAGATATTGCCCGTCAAACACAGTTCACACTCCAAAGCCACATCCAACCTGTCCACGTTTTATCTCTCAAGCCACATTTCCCACTGCTCTGCGACAGCCAAACTGATCCTTCCCTAGACTCACTGGATGCTTTTACATCTATGGCACTTCCTCTGTTTACAGGGCTCTCTCCCACTTGAAATGCCACCTTCTCAGCACAGCCTGTCGCAGCGGCTACAGTCATCTGGAGGCTTAACTAGGCTGAATGTCCAAAATGCCTCACTCATATGTCTCGGCTGTAGACAGTGGCCTTTAACCTCTCTGAGTGGCTTCGGCATCTCACAACACGGCAGCTGGTTTCCAAGAGGGCACCTCCCAAAAGCAGGAGTTCTAAGAAGCCAAGGCGGAAGCCGCAAGGCTTCTTCTGACGTAGCCTTGGTCTACCAAGTCAGGTCTAGCCCAGAGCCAAGGGGAGGGGATGTAGACTCCACTTCTCAATGGGAGGAGTAGCGATCAATTTCCATCAGTCTTTCATCCAACATTTGCTGTGCCTCATGCGGCACTGACACCACATGGCCTTGGGTGGCAGGCCTCTCTCTCCCGCTGGAGTCTGACCTCCCAGAAGCGTCGCGCCTCCCTGTCTCCCACCGTGGGGCTTCACACCACCTAATACCTCAACTGTGTTTCATGAATGAAGAGTTTGTTTACCTCTTCCCATTAAAAAGGCAGTTAAAGTGCTCGCTTCGGCAGCACATATACTAAAATTGGAACGATACAGAGAAGATTAGCATGGCCCCTGCGCAAGGATGACACGCAAATTCGTGAAGCGTTCCATATTTAAAAAAAAAAA